AAGTAGAAACTCAACAAGCAATGTGCATTCTAATACATACAAAATGGTGCTGAATAGCGCAGGGAAGACTTAGATACAAATCCTGACCTGACCTCATTSACATAGTATYAGATAGCGRAGCAGAATGCTAGAATGCTAATGATTAGCCCAATCAATGTTTGAACGCAGACCAAACATACATCATATCCATCACCAGGTGTGAAGGAGCCTGGCGCTGTACACAGGAAGAAAGCGCCAGGTCCAGACATACACAGACGAAGAGGAGGGAATCAGATGAAGAGGAGGGAATCAGACGAAGAGGAGAGGGAGAGATGGGAGTGTCGTCAACACCAAGTCTTTGTCACAAGTCCCAGATAATCCCACGTTGCAATGTCTGAAGTCCAAAAGTCGAGTCTGGATCCAATGTCACCAAGCTCTTTCTCTCTTCTCTCGTAGTCTGCAGATGCAGTGAAGTCAGATGATGAGAGGGTGAGAGGGAGATGGTGGACTGAGAAGAGGAAGAAGAAGAACTCCCTCTCTGTTACGAGCCAGGACTAACCTGTGATGTTGGCGCTGTGCTGCAGGGTGAGCAACGGCGCTGCAGGTAAGTACCTCTGGCCTCCGCCCAATCTCTCTCTCTCTAGTGCTATCCTAGTTATGGCTCCCAGCGCTAGAGACTACAGCTACCTACTGCGCCCAGCGCTGAAGACTAAAGGCTAACGCTACTACTACTCTTGCAGCGCTCCCTCCAGAGTGCTGCTGCCGAATCCTGAAGACTACTACTGCCTCCTGCCTACCCATGAAGTGCATGGGAAGTCCCTATGTACTACCTCGGCCTGCCTCCTGACTGCCTGAAGGGCGAGCCAGGCCGAGGAGGCTGCTCTTGCCAATGCCGAAGTGTGCCAGGGGCTGGCGCTGCAGCAGCTGCTTGAGGCTGGCGTGGGAACAGGCTAAGAATAGCCTGTTCCCGAAACCCTGGTTCGGTGCCTGAGTTTCAGGGCCGGTCGTTCTGATGAACGACCGAAAATGGCCCTTCATTTCAGGCTAAAAAGGCTCTCGCCATTTTTAGTCTGAAACGACATAGGGACTGTAGGCCCCTGTTTTCAGGCTTTCGGGCTGAACAGTCACGGGGCCTGTAGGCCCTAGTTTTCAGGCTTTAAGCCTGAATTTCAGGCTTTCAACCTGAGGGACGCAGGGCCTGGAAAATGGCCCTCGTGTGCAGGCGCAGCATGTAACACCCCCCCCTCCTTATGAAGTGAAGCCGGGGCGAGGGCGAAGCCGACGATCTGAAGGTGGAACCTGGACGCGGGCGCGAGGTGGACTGAAGAAACCGGCTTGCCTTGCATCTTGCGTTCATAGCGTGCGAGAACGTCTGGAGCTGTTGCTTGAAGTTCCGCACGGGTCAACCAACGGTCAACTCGGTGTGTGCAGTATGCAAAATGCACTAAATACTCGGTTGGCCTGTTGCCGTAGCGTCGCTGGGAGATGATGTCGCCGGCCTCCTGCAAACCATCCATGGAGGGTGGGTCTTGCGAACGTCTCCCGGGAAAATCGTAATGTTCCACTGGCGTGTAAAGAGCCAACTTGCAGCAATGAAAGACTGGGTAGACGAGCAAGTGGGCGGGCACCTGAATCGTGGAGGAAGCTCCCTCAGGTGTGTCCCCAGCGGGTGCCACGATCGGCCAAGGCCCCATCCATTCGGGAGGAGCTTGCGAGAGATGTCTTGTTCAAGGCTGAATTCCGCTGCGGAAACCCAAATGAGGTCGCCGGCGCGGAATGGGCAAGGAAAACGCTGGCGATTGGCCTGCTGGCTCATGCACTGCTGCGTCTTAGCCATCTGGTCGCGTGCCTTGACAAGAAGCTCTTGCATCTGATGCAAGAAAAGAAGATGGTCGTCGCTCTCGGCCGTTCGTGGAGTAATAGTGTCCAACGGTGAAGTGACCGGCGAGCCGTGCTCGAACTCGAAAGGCGATATCCCGATAGCCGGGTGGATGGAAGAGTTGTAGGCCAACTCGACATCCGGCAGCCGCTCAACCCAGTCCTTCTGGTCCGGACGGATGAGAGTGCGAAGGAGAACCTGTGCGGTCTGGTGTGCCCTCTCCGTTTGGCCATCAGTCTGAGGGTGGCGAGCTGAACTGGGCTTGAGAGATGAGCACAATCGCTTGATGAGCGCCAACCAAAAATCAGACATGAACCGAGTGTCGCGGTGTCGAAGGGCGCGGTGTCCCGGCCCCCCTCTGCGTACCAAGTCCCTGCTTGGTATCAACCTCCTGCCTTGACGTCTCGGCCTGTAGTCGTGTTCCCAAACCTCTATGATCCCTAGTACCCGGACAATACTTTGAAGTGGACCGGTCCTGTTGGTGCCTTCCTCAGCAAAAGGGAGGGTGCGCCACAGGACTTTCATTTGGTCCACGCAGGCTCGGCGCCCTGCTGTACAGCAGAGCACTACCGGCCGTGGTAACCGCCGGGTTCGCCCTGGGACGCGAAAGTGGAAAGACCTGTGCGGTCTTTTCCACTGCGCGCCGAGCGCCCCGTTGCCAAGTTATTGGTTAGGTGCTTGGAGCGGTGGTCGCTGTCAGAGAAAAAGGAGGTTAAGCAAAGGAAACAAGAAAGAAAATGAAATGTAAAAAGGAAAATGAAAAGAAAGCTAGAGGTCTACTCTGCGCGACTGAACTGTCAGCCTTAATTCGGGGAAATCTGACGGCCTCTAGTCACACTATCGTTACGTTTTCATTCTTTTCCTTATTATTGTTATTATCCTACCCCTTAAGCGCGGTGGGCCCGCAGGGGGGAGGTCGTGTTCCGCTGCGCGCCGGAATCGGCCCGAAGTTTTGATTCGGGCCGGCGGATGAAGGCGATCGAGGGAGGGGCGTTGTGCAGAGTGGCGCGCGTACCGAATTGTTCACAGCGCGCCACTAAACGAGAGAGCGCGCCTACGGGGCCGGGTAGACGGCGGGTGTCGATGTGCATTAATATCTGAACGCGCCCGCCGTCGGATTGCAAGAAAGTGTCGTTTCGTGCCCCGGCCCCTTTTTTTTTTTTCTTTTTTTTCTTTTTGATTTTGTATATTCTTTTTGGGGGTGAAGTTCTTCTTTTCTTTTTTTTTTGTTTTTGGCGTGTTGTTTCCTGCTTTAATTCGTTTTGTCGGCGCTGTCAAAAATTGAAAGGTACGAAGGACGTGAGAAAATCGAGATATCTTTAGTTCGGGTGGTATGCTGATATCATGCTGAGGTGCTCGTCGGAGTTCACCCTCCTGAAGAGTCCACTGCGTAGGCGGATGAAACGCGTAGAGGGATGCTACGCTGCCGTCGTTGAAATGAGGAGAGGTTGGATATGGATGGAGACTGGGGATGTGACGAGAGATAGTGAAGGGAAGAGCAAGGGATATGGGGATGGTAACTCTTGTATCCGTGGATTCCTGAAATTTTGAAGTTTATGCTGGGCTTTTTGGTCCATATTCAGTGTATCCGCTCTCTTTTCATTTTTTCTTGTCCTCCCTTTCCCTATCCTCTGGCTTGCATGTCTCCGGTCTGTATGCACTCCTTGTTCAGGCTGTCTTCGCCGCAGTCTGCCTCATACTCACATTAGAATTTTTTCGCTTATTTAAGGACATAATTGTGGATACATCCAGCTGGGCCATAAATGCAGTCAGATACATAAGAAAACTTGATGCAAATGTGCAGACACTGCTGAGTAATCGTTCTAAACAATGATCATAGAAACTGACACACTTCGCTGTGTGATGCTGGGTCCTGTTTTTCTTGTGTTAAACTTCCTACCACCACAAAACAATATTATTTGTCCCATTTGAACAGTGGTGTGACAGTGGCCACCATCAACCATGATAGCAAAATTGATTGGCTGGAATTGAACCCTCGTGCGAGCCATCTTCTCTATCGTGACAAGAAGCGGCAACTACATCTGTTCAATATCGTTACACAGGTTAGCTCCACTCTTCACCTTCCAGCTCTCTGCATCCATTACTTCATTGGAAAAAAAAAAAGCCAAGGCTCTGTTTACACAGGTTACCTCCAAGGCTCCAACTGTTCACTGTCTAGCTCTCTTCCTTAGGCCAAGCCAAGGCGCTGTTCTATTTTAGGGAGCAACTGACCAGTGCCTATTCCACTGACAAGCCATTGTACAAGACAAAATGTGCGAAAGAAGTCCAGCAGCATTGATTGCTCCCATACCTGCCTTTCTCTTGTCTCTTTTCCTGATCCAGTTGGCGTCTTCTCTCTGGGATCTGTGTCTTTTCCATTTTCCTACCACTGTCCCATGCTCAGGTGAAAGAATCTTGTGCACATACATGATCTTTTTTTCCTCGTTATTAAGTTTTTTTTCTTAAAAAAAAACACAGGGCCTTATGGTCCTAGATCCGTTCTATTCTGGGGCACAGCAGTCCTGTTCGTATTCCACTGGTAGGTCAGATATATTACAAGCATATCCACCACACGCTTCCCCTTCTTACAGCCAGCACAACCTGCAACGTCATTGATTACTCCCTCTTGGGAGGATTGCCTGTTGGTACCACTGTGTCCTTTTGCATCTCTTCCTCATATTGGTGATCTTTGGCCTTTCATGGCTGACAGGCATGCATCACCCTCTCACCCTCTCGCCCTCGCAGCCTCTCACTCTCGCACCCTCTCACCCTCTCACCTTCTCACCCTCTGACTGTACTCCCTCTGCTTGCCCTCTTATGCTGCTCTTCTTCCGCTCTCTCGCCTCCTTCCCCCATTTTCGCCTCCCCCCTTCCCTCTTCTGCCCCTCCTTCTGCTTCTCCCCC